TCGTGTTAACTGATTACATCTGCAAAGACCCTATTTCCAAATAAGGTCATATTTACAGGTATTGGGGGTTAGGACTTCTACATATATATTATGGGGGCACAATTCAATCCGTAACAGTTTAAAAATATAATTAAAACATTTAAAAGTTTTCTCTCAGCAAGAAGCTAAAGGAAGCAAGTATCAAAGTCATGTACTTTTGATCTGTAGCTATCATTGTTTCCTGCCTTGTTTAAACTTGTAACTTTATCAAGTCTGAAATGCGGCTAACTCAGTCTGGCAGGCTATCTTTGGCTTCACTTCTAAGAGGTAACCAGAAGACCCTAATGAATGTTGTCATTCCACTCCTCTAATACCTTCTACTATAGTCTAGTACATTGCAGAGAAATCGTGTGCCTGAGAAATGAGGTATCAATATTAAGAACCTGACAATTCTTAATATATACAGGTTTGACAGAGTTGTTTTTTTCTTTTTTTAAAAAAGAACTTGACATGTTGGCTATTGACTTTTTCCTTGATTTGTCACTAGGTCCTTTAGCAGAAATTCTTAATGCACAGGTCAACATAATAAAAATTTCTTTGTCTATCTGGATAAGTAAAGATTATATCTCAAGTCTGGTAATGATAAGACAGTTTTCTTGTCATGTAGTGCACTCAGTCCTTATAGTGTGGTATAGTTGAAATGAGTTTCCTCAAATGAACGCCTTTGAGAGGATGTTACATGTTTACTGGAGATTAAAAAATTTAACCTGGCCATTTCAAAGAATACTCTATTTATTTAGAATTTATTTTATTGTTATTTTGAGAATATAAACAGCAAAACATACACCAATTTAAGCAGTTTCTATGTACCATATAGGAGTTCTGGTAGTGTAGTGCCTAAGGCATTTGACTGCTAACCAGAAGGCTGGTGGTTCAAACCCACCAGCAACTCATCAGAAGAAAGATTGGGCAATCTACTTCCATAGAGATACTGCCTCAGAAAACGAAGGAGTGGTCCTTATGAGTCGGGATTGACTCGAGAGCAGTGAGTTTGGATTTTTTGGTTTCCTATGTACCATGTGTTGTTGTTAGGTGCTGCCAAGTTGGCTCCAATTCATAGAGACCCTATAGCTCTGGTAGCTTAGTGCCTAAGGCACTTGACTGCTAACCAGAAGGCTGGTGGTTCAAACCCACCAGGCACTCCTCGGAAGGAAGGTTGGGCAATCTACTTCCATAGT